TTTTTTTTTACAATTATGAATAATTATTATTCATTTATTGCATTCATGTGTATTGTTTATAAAATTCATTAAAATCATTTAATTAAAATACATTTAAATAAGAACTTTGTTTATGTAGGACCTTTTAAACTTGCTTTGACAAACAAAATTATTGTATATAATTAAATATAAAAATAAAGAATACCAAAATACAATAATAAAAGCCTTAAAGAATTTATAAACATTTTTCCTTGCTTTGTTTTCTTTTTAAAAACATAAATATCATTGATGCATACTGTGCATATTGTATATATCCACCTACCAAATGTACATTAAAATACATCCTGTCATCCTTTGCACTACTTTCTACTAATGGTATTGTTTATAAATACTGTATAAAAACTGTACATAGTAAAGCACCAAGTATTTATTATTATTATTATTATTATTATTATCACCAAAGCTTCACAGGGGCGTCGTGAGGATAAGAAAACCTACCGATATTTTGCACTTAACTAAATCAAATTGTTATTTATAAAGTTTATATTATTTAAGATATAAACTTTATAGAGCTGAACACAGTTTATATTAAAGTAGCTTCACTCAAACAGCCTCTTCCTTCATTATAAAGCAACCAAAGAGCAGTGGGGCGGTTTTATATGATGAACTGCAGACAGACGGAGGTCAGTGACACAAACTCTTTAATAATAATCGAGACGTCGTGTCACGTCAGGTTCGAATATTTCCATCAGTAAAGAAAAAGATATTTACACAACAGAGAACAACAAGCATCTAGAAAACAACTGCACACAAATAACAAGAAATAAAAAAAACAGTAAAATACAAATATGTTTATGTACAGTTTTATAAAAGCAGTTCTTTGTATGTTTAATGCTTTAATGTTTGTTTTAGGGTTTAAAGCTGCTATGAATGTGGTTTGAACGACGGTTGTAAAACAAATAAAATAGTAAGACCACATTTCCCATCAGCCATCACATCCCGCCCATACAACATAAACACAAACAAATTTGCAGATGATTTAGTGACGTGAAAGAACAAAGAGCACCGAGAGTTTGCACCAGATTCTGAAAATACTGAAACTAATAAGTCACTGAAGGACAATTTACCCTCTGCCCCTAACAGTCTGCAGAGGTCAGATAAAGCTCCACTTTCAACCAAATAACAACAATAAAAAAGTAATCTCAAAGTTAAACCACCGACACATAAAAGATGGACGACAATATTTCAGCAACTGCTTGAATGTTCGGACGTAATATTTATTAAACTTTCTTCAGTTCTGCAGCATTTTGTTATCGACCTCAAAATCAACTCAAGATTAAAGTTTAAATGTGGCCACTTCTGGTTTCACTTTCCTCAATAACCAACAAAATATTGTCCAAATCAGACAATCAGTTGCTGAAATACAGCTGATTATTAATACTAATTATGCTACTTTAACACCATATGCAAGTTAGCATCCAGCAGTTATTAAATGGGGACACAAACTGAACATTAATAACATAAAACCAACACAATAAATAAACTATAATTTCTGTTCTAGTGTTCATTTTTATGATAAATGTAGTTTTAATGATGTTTAAATGTTATCTGAAGCTATAAATTGGAGGTTTGACATCATGATTGACAGCTGAGGGAAGTGGAGGCGTCCATCTTGTACATGTGGGCGGGTTAAAGAGAGACAGGTGAGTGTTCGACAGGTAACATTAATGCTCAGGTAACACTGAAAGTCAGATAAACACTATTAATGCAAACGTACGGCAGCTGACGAACTCCGTTAATGAACTCTGATATAAAGACAGGAAATAAATAATCAGTAAATAAACAGCTGTGTGTGTGTGTGTG